ACTCACCATCACCTTTCGCGATAAAAACATTCACTACATTGACGAGATGAATTATCATACCAGTTGACGCGCCCAGCATCTATCAACCAACCAGAGGCACAGCGGCTGGGGAGACGAGAGTAAGCACTTTCCACCAACTTTCATTCCCTCTATACAGAATACTAAGTAAATAAGCCGTTTTATATACTTCGAAATCACTGACACAAAACCCCGCGAGTGATTTTAGGGAATTGCCCGGAGGCCTGATTCAAGAAGATGTAAGGGAGAAAAATTGAAGTTCACGGAAGGACACGGATAAGTTAGATTTCAGTTCAAACCTATTTTTACTTATAAATCATTTAACAAGTTCGAAAATTTCGCCCGGATCCAACTAATAATATACGAAGTCCGTTCAATATTTTTTGTAATTAAGCTGCGGATTTATTGGCACGAAAAACTGCAGAAATAAGCCGGAAAAATTGGCGTTTAAAAAGGTGAAATAGGGGGTAAAAAGGCACTCTATTTTTTTCTATTGCGTATTTATATACTTGTGTAGAAAGTATCTGAAGAAAACAATATACTTGTAGTTGCCTTCATGAAATGTTTGCTTTCATCATTGTTCTGACAAATCCTCATAGAAATTATTTCCATCATTGTTGGGCATTTCGGACAAAAAAGACTGAATCGCAGTAGCTACCTTCTTGCTTTTCATTAAATGCAAGCTGATACACTAATGCTGCACAGTATGATCTTTTCCCTCACATTTATGCTATATATAATTGAAAATACAGTACGATTTTTAATCTCCCTTCAGTACACAAAACTAGTGGTGTTACAACAGTATATACATTCTTACATTATATCTAAAAAATATTTTCAAATTTGTAATTTTCAACAATTTAGAGAGTTTAACGAAAATGCGACATGCACCATTCTTTAAAGAGTCCCTTGCTCTATCCTCAGAAAAAAATTGAAGGAAAAAGATGTAGCACTTTTGAGGATTTATTTTACAATTTGCATTAATTTCAAGCAGAAAAACACTCGTTAAAAATACATGACCTTTTTTACAGATCTAATATTTTAGATCATATTTCATTTACGACAAAAATCTCGGTTTTCAATATTCTACTTTTGCGAAGTTAATTTGTTTTAATTTTCGAAAATACAGATAGTTGGTGGAAAATGGGACTGGCACCAATTTTTATTCCGCCCTTTGATACATACGGGAAGAAAATTTTAAGAAAACACTTGGAGCCGTTTTTGAAAAAAAATGTAATAATTCCAAGTAAAAAAATAACTCGACTACCACCAGTGATTTTGCACGTGTTTCATAATACGAAATACTGGGTTTAAAACGGAACATAGATTTATCGATAGCTGTTCGATTTCTCTGTACTTCGCAAGATAAAAACGAAAAAAGACGTACAATTTTTTAAATTTTTGGTTAAGGATAATTTGCATTTTGATCAATGAATACGAGACTAGGCAACATTTAGGCATTTAAACACAAAATAGGTATTTATTGGTGAAACAGGCTACTTTAAAGTTTGTATATAATGCTCTTAAAGCATCAAAATGAATAAGTAACATAAAATATTGTTTTCCATAGAAATGAAAATAACCAAACAAAAATCCGCACCTTAATAATAACGTATCAGTGCTAATCGTTCAAATATTTATAGTTATTCTCAAAGTAGTCCTCATTCGATGCTGTACACTCGTCACGGCAGTTTTTCCAGTCTTCGAAGACATTTTCAAAGCCATGTTTTGCTAAGTTCTTCAAATTGTCCTCCGCAGCTTTCACCACATCTCTGAAGATAAGTAACCCTTTCCAGGAAGTTGTTTCTTCACACTGGCAAAAAGAAAAAAGTCACTTATGATAAATAGGAGCTATAAGAAGGGTGAGGGATACACTTCATAAAGAGATATTCCGTTCCAACGTTCGTAACGTGCAGCCTTGCGTTACAGAGGTGCAGCATACACCATCTGGCTTTGAAATATGACCTTTTGCGATTAATATGGCCTCGTAGAATTTTTAGTACATCTTTTAGTGTTCTCCTGTTACAGTTGGGATGCTGGTACGTCGTGCTGATACACTATTCCCTGGATATCGGAAAATGAGGTGATCTTGCCGAAGCTATCACATTTACTTTGGCTTTGATGATAACATAGATTTTCTGCTGATGTTTGTTATTTGCTCCCATTACGATGAAGACAAGTGTTATCACCAGTGATAATTTTCGAAAGAAATTCCTTACCTTCCTGATACATCAGTTTCCGCTGCCAACAAACTTTAAGTAGTTTCGGAACTCACCGCGCACAGACACGTCCACCAGTATTCAACGTGTGAGTAGCACCCAATGAAATTTCCAAAGATTATAAATCCTCTTAAAGTTATTGGCCGATCTTCTCTCACTATTACAACAGCGGCGTTAAAGTTCATTTCCGTAAGTGTCGTAACTAGGACACTGGTTACACCTTCCTTTGAAATTGGTTGCCTCCTAAAACTTTTTAAACCATCTTCTACAAGTGCTGAAAGGAAGATTAAACTCTCCTTATTACTTCTGAAGCAGCCCAGGCTGACGATTTTTTCAAGCGAATGAATGCAATGTATAGATGCAATGCCTCTACATGCATGGCTGTCACTGGCGCTTTAAAGAAGTAAAATCAATTTCAAGTGTGCCACGTATATTTAAATGTAGTATTAAGCTGTCAGGATATCATCATTTTTTCATGTTTAATTAATCAAATAAAAAAGCCAGGCCTTATTGAACAGCTCTTGAAGCTTGAAGAGCAGTGTAATCTTAAAATTGGATCCCAACTTCGTACGACCTTCCGGGAGCGTGAGTCTCCACCAACGTTTGGTACCGCTTATGAAACCCCCAAGCCCTAAACAGCGGTACTCATTTGAAAGCTTGGGTACTATATTTTACTTAAAATGTTATGTTCAAGAAAATTTACGCACTTTAATTTAATTTAAACACTTTGTAAATGTAAAGTTCCTTACTTATTTTTCAGTTCAATTTTTCATATTTTTCAAATTTTAATTAAAATATACTTTATTTGTTAACTTTATTATTGTATTTTATTTCATTTCTTCAAACTAGGTCTATCTTGGCGGGCATTTTCCCACTTGAAGAAAGTACTTGGAAAAGATTAATAGAACCTTGTAGAGTAAAACTAGTTATCAAAAGATTTCACCGTGAACATAAACAACTTTTGAATTTTAGATCGAAGAGGATTTAAAAACATCATTCGACGGAACAAGAATGCATCATCTTCAACCAGTCTGCTATTCACAATCGTCAGTGCATAGGAAAATTGGCATAAAAATACTCGCTTTTTGGCTATTGAATTAACGGATTTCTAAAATGTTACTTTTTCCAATTACATTTTTTCAAAGGTTGTGAAGATAAAAGACGGTAGACAGATATTGTGGTTGAAATAAATGCGGCTCTGCTAAAAACCGACATCCATCAAACTGACTACTTCCATATGTGTCTCTTTTCCATCGACGATATTTCTAGGAACATATTCTCTTCGATCTTGTTTTTCAGTCGAAGGCTATGTCGTGAGTCAACGCCCCGCCAGGACGAAAAGGTTAGCTTCAGGGTTGGCTCCCGATCTGTTGTCTCAGGCTCAATTTTTCTTCATCAAAAACGACTGCTCTTCGCAACAGAAACCCAAGAGAAGAACTTCCGCGTTTGCACTTCTATCTCCTCCACAACTGCACTTCAACCATTTCATCATTCTCGACCAGGAGCGTTCAATTACGTGGATTCGTCTTTGTATTTGAATGTTCGAAGAGAAATTGTGTTATACTTCAGCTTTAATAAAAGTACATGTTTCGAATGTCTCAATCCTCAAATTTGTTTGATATTCACGCTTTTAACTACAGATACCTACATTTTGAGGATCTCCACTACGAAAAATTTCCTCCCTTGATGTTCTTGCTTACCATATTGACTTTGCCATGCTGCGCTACTTGAGTGCACAAGAAGCATATAATATTCGGTTTTATTTTTTTGATTGCTAAGGAACCAAAATGTATAATGCGTAGAAATAAAGAAACCTAATAATATTATAAAGGTGTCACTTTTTGCTAAGACTTTGACTGTTTTTGGCAGAAGGCATCCGGGTCTGGGGTCCTCGGGAGTTGACTGCTTGCGAGTTGCTGTTGCGTAGGTAATGCGCGTTACGCACTGGCCTTGAAGGCGCAGCTTTGGTGGACGAAACGTCGGCGAAATTGTCTAGGCCGTGGCGTCTCCAGTACAGCTAAAATCCCAAGGTTTCTATTTGCTCTTCACGTTTATCGTGTAGGTGTCGAAGTATTACGTATACTTAATGTGGAGATAATAGAAAATGAAGGTATCATTTACTTATGTAGTTCTACGAAGAAGTTCAACTTTTCTTTTAGAGACTTGAGGTTGGCTTGTAATTTTAAGGAGATGCTAATACATGCGGTTGAAAATTACGCCGCACAGCTTTATCTCGTAAAATTAATCCGAATGGGTGACATGATTCGACCGCTTACGTACGTAGAGATAAGGCGAGGTTTATCGTGTTAGAATCTCGGAATCAACGCGTTTCTTGTGTTTTTATTTGTTTGTGTCGGCCCGGAGTTCTGACAACCCTAAATAAAAAGAGAGCATTAAGAGTATGGTTCGAAAAATGCCCCTTAAGGAGGTTATATGTGCGCCAAAATTTTTGGGGGTGGAAGTCGGAGCTTTTCTTTCTTACGGGTGTAAAACTGTGTTCTAAACCCAAGAAAACCGTAATAGTTAACAGTTCCACCTAGTTAATAATCTTAGCTCATTCTCGTACTTCCCAAAAGCTACTCATTTTGGAGTCCATTTTTCCATCGTTAGTTTCTTTCAGTCTACGCGCCGCGTGCCCGCTGCGCGCCGCTCCTCGCTTGCATAAGTAGCGCCCGGGGCGACTCCTGTCCCGCCGAAACGAGGTGAAGGTGAGCGACGGCGGTGGCGGAGGGGCCGGGGGCCGGGCACGGCACGGCGAGGCACATGGTCGCGAGGGCAGCCACCGCGCGGCGGGTTCCTGGTGCGCTCCGGACCTCGGCCACCCTCCGACCGCCGACCCTGCGAGTCTCCACAAGCGACGAACCCGGCGCCCGGCGCCCCACCGGGCAGTGCGACCGACGCCGTCCCCCGAAGTGCCTGCCTGCCGGCGCAGCGGAGCGATTCCAATTGAAGGAAGATTTGGAGATTTGTGCGCAGTTTGTGGAGGTGTCCTTCCCGCGGAGCCTTTTCGGAAGGAAGTGCCGTCGGGAGATCGTTTGAGCGGGCGCCGAGAGGATCGTCTTCCGTGCGGTAATTGGCCCAAGAGTGGCATTTTTATGTTTCTTCACAATGCAAATGATGAGTAGCTCACTTTGCGTTTCCTGTGATGTGAACGTGCCTGCTCAAAAATCTTTTGCTGTTTTAATGAATGATTTGCATTTTTACGATGATTGCAATGACAAATCCATTTCCAGTCAAATTATTGTCTAATTATTATTTCTTTGAATTGTACTGTGTAATGCAGATACGTATTATCACAACAACATGTTTTGCAATAAGGAAACATTCTTTCTTGACTACATGATATGCCTTACAAATAGCATTGAGCTTCTTTTTCAGTGTTGTTTCTGTTACAAAGCATGCTACGTCAGCATGTTGGTGGCCGGGGTACAATTACAGGCAAGCAAGGAAATGCATACGTGTTCCAAAGAGATGCAATTATATTTTGTTGAATAAATTTTCTGGAAATGTGAATCCTTGGAGTTCGGTTCGAGTGTTTCAATTAGTTAATACAAAAATACTCGTAATTAGAAAAAGTAGCCTGAGATCACAGTAATTAAACATTTATATACCACTTTAATGCACTTTTATAAATGCAGTCGACTGGCTATAGTGAACTCGGATATAGTGAACTTTCAGTTACTGTGAACCGAAGTCCCTGGACCCGATACTCAAACATAACAAATAAGTGATAAAATATTATTTTATAGTGAACTCTCAATATCGGTTATAGTGAATAATTATAACACATTCTTGTTTGAAGACAAAGGACTTCGTGAGTAATTTTTCTACATTTACGCTGAAAGAAAGGGTATGAGAGAACCATACTCAACCGAAAGAATAGGACAATTGCTCGCTACTGAAAGAGTGCTCATTAATGGCAGTTCTGTCCAGCCCGACATGGATGCGGGACACAAGTTCAAAACGTGTAAAATACGATGTAGCTGGAACAATACGAATCCGATGAAACATCCGATAAAATGAGAAAACCTTCACCTCAGATAAACGAAAAAAAATGTTAGTACCTACAGATTCACTCTAACCGGAGTTGACTGTACCATGTACTATATCTTTACTTTCTCAAGAAAGCGTAATCGTGCATTACATAATTGTCTCTGTAATTAAGTTTTTGTTTTCTGAATAGATATAGTACTAGTATTTTGGAATCATTAGAATTTCCAAAATACCATATTTCCAAAGTTTGTGTTTTTTGACAATCGAACCTTTTGAAGACTATGCATGTTTTAAAATCATGAGATCATTTAATCATTGAGATCATTTAATTGTAAACTTCATGGAAATCGCTGACTAGTATTGTCATTAATGGAGTGTTTCACAATTGTATTACTGTAAAATGACATACATTTGAGTGACATTACGTACTTCTGCCAAGGTTTGTACGCTTTACTTATTTTTAAATTTTTGAGCCCTCATTGTTTAAAAATTGTACTCCGATTAATTGACGTAAAAAATATACATCCCAGACTGTCACCTTCTTTGGAATCGTCCTTCCTCCCTTATTTTCTGCTTACTCAAGTTTGCGTAAGTTTCTTTTCATATTAATATTAATATTATTCGAAGGATTCCAACATTTTGAGATGAGGAAAATTGTGTGGCTTGTATTGGGAACCACCCTCTCCGCAGGAGACGTTTGCAAACGCGCAGCAGTTTCCGTGACGCGGCGTGGAGAGAGCCCTTTGTTTACTCTTTTGCAGCTTTCGGGGAAAGCGCCGGGGCTGTTGTGGTCGCGTGGAGTCTTCCACGGCCGGCCTTTCTGCGCCAGTGCCATGGGAGAGACAGTAGCGGCGGAGTCCGACGCCCAACAGGTAGCCGACAAAGAGCTCACCCGGGCAGCCTGCGTTGCACTGTGAATGTCAAAGCGCATTCACTAGAAAGTATTGATTATAGAGTTAGTATAGCATATATATATATATATATATATATATATATATATATATATATATATATATATATATATAGGCTCAAAGTCTCATCATTTGCGCCTCTCGTCTTATAACTCTTGACCCCTTGGTGCTATGCTTTTTGGGAGGCGGGCGAATGCCTTTGCCGCTGCCGCGGGCCGGTTGGGATGTCGCCTGGTGTGCCGGAGCGGGCTCGGACCGGCGAGACGGCCGGACGCGGCGGGAACGAGCGCGTGGCCGGGGTCGCTCGTGCGAGTGCTGGCGCCGCCAACTCCTGCTTCCCCTGAGCCGCTGACGTCCGTGGTGAGCGGGTGGGTGGCGGCGGGTGCTGCGGACTGCGTGTTCCGAGTGGACTGCTGCGGCGCAT